GATCCACTTGTCTCATAAGCTAAAAGTTTTGAATTCCATCCTCACAGCTAGTCAGTGATTCACCAAATTGATATCGCTTCCTGACGAAGTTACAGATAATACACAATTTGAAAATGGAATCTTCAGAACCTATTAACGGTGAGAACAGGTGACCTAGCTCTTCTATTGCGAAACAACATTGTAGAGACAGGATATAAAATTGACGTTAACAGATCTTTTAAACCTGTCTATAAAATGTGTTTGGTGGAGGGCGTATCCTCAAGTTTGTGGAAGCCCTAGCTGGCAATTAGAAAGTTTAAGTCACGTTTATGCGTTCAAAGCAACAATTCGTCATCAAACTAAACCTTCCTTGGTAAACTTTGTTTTGATACCATAGCAGATGTACTATTACCTCTGTTATTTGGTTTAGTAGTATTCATTATTATTTTGACCTTGAATATGTCCTTTTAACTTGGCCTAAGTGTCTATTTTCTCACCTCTTAACTCTTTATTAATTTCATATACATTCCTATGACAAGTCCGTGTGTGATGGATCAGATTGTTCGAAATGCGTTACGCAAATACGAGAGTACACGATTCAGACAAATTACGTCTTCTTATTGCTTTATCTAAATTCATAAAGGGAACTAATTGCTTTCAAAGAAAAGAATAAGAAGTTCCTCAAACAGGTATCTTTTCAGAGATCTCATTCTCAAAAGCAGGTTCAGATAGATACTGTTATTATCGTTATTATTATTATTATTAATTCCACATAGTAACGAAGGGGGAGATTAAAGGTGATGATAATTTTCAATTTGATATGAAAGGCCAAAGGTGTGAATATAGATTACAAGGGGCTAAGAAACAAAACTACATAGGATTAGAAAATAGTTGCGCTATGTGTAAAATGGTTTTTTTGACGAATATTGGTGTAAACGGGATAAACATGGAGACAAAGTGAAATAATAGTTTTTACAATTGAAATGATGATGAAAAAACGAGACTTAGGGAAGAAAACTGAACTAGATCGATGGTAAATGTATAGGTTGGACTAGTTTCTTTTGAACGCATAGCTCCGGTGTTTAGATATATATGGTGAGGGCTACTGCAGTACAAAGGAGTCGAAAACACACTACCTTTGGTAGATTTTTGCTTACTTTATAAATGACTTTGAACTCTGAATGATGAGTCACTTTAGATGGGTATAAGAGGTGTTGACCTGGTGTTCAATTATGGTGCTTCTGATTGAACCAATGCCTCCTCTTTGCAGTTATTTTGGGTGATTGTTCTCTAACACATTTTGAAAGGACCCGCACAGAAAGACGTATGTAGCTAACTCTACACGAACAGGTGAATTGCTATAATGCAAAATGAAGTGGTCATATGTGGAAGTCTATCTTTCAAATCGCTTCGAAGGAGTGAGTGTTGTTGTTACCAGGGAATAATCTCGTCGACGATGTAGTCCTTCTAGGCGAGGACGCTGACAAAATCCAGCAGAGTCTTCTGAACACCTTGACCTGCAATCTACGGATGTTTGGCATGCGATTCACTCCTACTGTCAAATGGAACATGATGTTACAGGATTGGACTACACCGACTCCTAGATTAGAAATAGGAAGTGAAGTGGTAGAGCACGTGGACCGCTTCACTTATTCAGGAAGAACCATCAGCCAACACCAACGGGTTGATCTCCGACGAAATCTCAGCACAAATACAGAGGGCTAGTTTCGCATATGCCAGTTTCCGCCGTCTCTGGCGTAGTAGACGTGATATCCGGCTGGTTGTCGACCAAAGGGCGTGTGTACTGCTCATCAGTCCGCTTCGTCCTCCTTTATGGCTGGGAGACCTGTCTATTGAGAGTGGAAGACATGAAAAGTTTAGCTGTCTTTGATCATAGGTGTCTGCGTTTTATCTACCGTATGAAGTGGTAAAATAAGGTGAGCAATATTGAGGTTAGGCCATCGGACGAGTGCTAGTTGGTAAGGAGGAATTGCAAATCAATCGACGAGGCTGTGAAATTACATCGACTCAGATGATTAGGACATGTGTTACGTATGCATCCCTAGTCATTGCCTTCCTCGACAACAGGCAATGTTAGATGATATAGGGTGAGGCTGGAAAAGAGCTAGCGGCGGTCAAACCAAAACATGCCTTCACCAGTCAATGAAATCTACAACAATTAGTCTAAGCCAGCCACGTGGGAAGGTGTAGACTTCCTGTTTGGCCTTCTCGGGACAGGTAAAACCAATAGTTGGAAACAATTGGCGACATGGCTCAAAATCGTTCTCAATGGCTGACTGGTGCAGATGCATCCACTCCTTGTGACTGACTAATGATTTCCAATGAAACTGTTTTGTTCTTCGTTATTACTATTCCTTTGTCTCACCACACCTCTGTTTACTGTCTCTCTTCTAATATGCATTTCTCCTACTTTCTTCTCTTGCTTTGTGTGGTACATGGAGGGAGTGTGGCGACTTGAACTGGCGCACATATGAGCAAAGTTCTATGTCAAAAACAGACAGTTACTTTTGTTGTATGAAAGGTCTTATTCAGGGAACTAGAGATTCTCCTCCTAAGGATATCTGCAGTTAATTCCACCTTGAAGTCTAATTTCAAATAAATATAGTGTTTTCTTTGGCAGTGAACTTCCTTCTCTTTTTGACTTTGCTTTTATGTCCTTGTACACGAAAAGTGTTGGGTATCCATTTTTTGAGTAAGAATGTTTTTTTGAGAAATAGGAGTTCTTCTTCTAGGCAGTCAATCCTGCAAATTCATCCACACCTGTATTCATTAAGAAAACCATTTTGCATATATATATATATATATATATCGCAACTATTTTTCAATCCTGTGTAATTTTTGTCTCTAATCCCCTTTGTAATCCATGTTCACACCTTCGACCTTTCATATCAAGTTGTAAAATTGCTATTATCACCTTTAATCTTCCCCTTCGAGTCATTGGCGGAAACACCAGTGCGTCGGTGGTATAGCGGTTAAGACGCTCGCGGACCATACACATGGTCCGGGGTTCGATCCCCGGCCGACGCACTCCTCTACCTCGCTAGGCCAGAAATAATACTGGTGAAGAGGAAAGGTTGTGTATGAGGCTAGCAACCCTATCCTGTAAAATAAACACTGCTACAGAAACTTCAGGCCACTAGCTTGAAGCCCTATGTTCCACTGGGGAACGTGAACGAAAAATAATAATATCTATGCGAACTTATGTATATGAATGCGATTGTATAGCTGTATTCGAGAATGAAATTGCTGAAAAGAGATAACCATATACGTGAGATTCCAAAGAACAAAGACTTGGTTCTGACACGCCCTGACAAAAGTGCTGGCATTGTCCTGATGGATCGCCAAGGCTACATAGATAAAATGTTAGCAGTCTTGTCAGATGAAAACAAATTTTCAAAAGAAAGTAGCCAGAAAGACCAAACGGAACAAATTGAAGACAAGCTAACATAAATGCTGAAGAAGATGAAGAATGAATCGATTATCAGCTCTGAATTATTCGAGCAACTACGACCCTCTGGTTCTGTGACTCCCCGTTCATATGGTCTACCGAAAGTGCACAAAGAGAACGTGCCACCACGTCCAATCTTGGATATGACAAATTCTCCATATCATGCTACCGCCAAATGGCTCGCAGAAATCCTCCTACCTATCCAAAATAACCTCTGCAAGCATCGTGTTTCTGATTCGTTTGAATTCATCGATTCAATAAGCGATGCTAATTTATCCGGGAAGAAAATGATATCCATGGATGTTACTTCGCTTTTCACCAACGTTCCCCTCAATGAAACTATATGCTTTATATGCGAATTCATTGAGAATAATAATGAAGACGTATGTGTTCCGATCCACTACTTAAAGTAACTACTATTGAGGTGCACTCTAAATGTCCAGTTCAAGTTCAACAACACGATTTATAGACAAAGAGATGAAGTGGCAATGGGGTCACCATTGGGTCCTTTACTTGCAGACTGCTTCTTGGCTAGTTTGGAGACTAATATTTTACGGCCTACTATCGACAGCTTCCATCTGTACGAAAGATACATGGATGATACTTTCATCATATGTGACGACAATACCGACATGGAATTGATAACTAAAGAGTTCAACAGATGCCATCAAGTTCATGTCGGAGTCAGAGGTGAACTCGGAGTTCCATTTTTTGGATGTTTTTCCAAAAAGTAGATCTGATAGTTCTCTTCAAAGATCGATCTACAGGAAACCAACATGGAATGGTCAGTACACAAATTTCCATAGCTGGGTCCCTTTGAGAAGAAATAGAGATCTGATCCATTCCTTAACCTCAAGAATAAGGAGGATGTGTTCAAGCGATACAATTGATGGGGAACTGGGGCGACTCAGACAAGTCCTCATAAAGAATAGATATCCTCCAAGATTTATCGAGAAAAACACGAAGTTAAGGGATAAGCCTGAAAGAATCCAGACGGTGCCAAAGAAACTGCTATTTATGGGTGTTGAATTTAAAGGTGATACCGCATTTGAGATCCTAAAGAATCGCTGCTTATGCAGATCACTGAGGAAAGCCTTCCTCATGGCTGAGCTACGTATCACTTTCTACAGTTGAGAAATGATCAACGGATGTGTGAAGGATAAAGTGCCGCCGATTTGGACCACCTTGGTGTGTGTTTATAAATTCACCTGCTCATGTGGAGCTAGTTATATTGGCCGCACAAAGCGCACGCTTTCCAAACGCATCTGTGAACATTATCTGTATTGTTAGCAAAGGGACAGTGAAAGACAATTACTAGCTCAATTCTCAAGCATTTGGTGAACTCATAACCATCTTTGCTGAACTTCTTGTTCTTTTCTCTCTAACGAGATAATTTATTTACCATAGCTTTGCGTTATTAGATCTTGATACTGGCGAACGTGTCGCTAACTCTCTAGATAGATTGATTCTTTTCAAAAAACAAAATATTTTTATCAACACTTATTTTTTGTTTACTCTTTTTTTTCTGTGTTTCATTTTTACAATAATAAAGGAGCATTGACTACAATGCCTGCTGTACGTGTATTTGCACTATACGCTGCTATGGCGATTGTATTCAACTTTCTATTGCAAATATTTGCATTTGTCGCTTTGTTGACACTGGATGGACGTAGATATGCGGTGAGTATTTATTATTAGTATTATTCATTTGCTTTTGATAGGTTTTGATCTTAGAATTGGTTAAATTTGATTGGTTGAAACCAGGTTGGGCTGAGGCTGAAAAATTATTATCATTATTATTTGATTGGACAAGCGTGTGAAGTGTGTACGTACAATCAATAAAATTAGTTGTTTTTTCTGACTTAACTCTCTCTCTGAGAGTTGTCAATGTCAATCAATACATGCAAGTGCATTTTTTTTATCTATTGAAGTGAATTGTTCTCACTAGGTTGGATTGGAAAATTCTACTACCCCTACGACAAATAGGAGAGAACAAAGAAAACTATAAAACTCAAGTCTCAAAGTCGTGTGATTACAATTGATGGCATGATTATGAACAATAAATTTTGTTCGAAACTGTCACCCAGTAAATAATAACACTTTCACTGTGTGATATATCTAATAAACGAACTAATATGGTATTACTTTACTTTACTTCGGCTATCTCCTACGGGAGAATGAGCCAGCTTCATGAACATCTCGAATCATCGGTGCCCAGGCGCGGCGATCTGATGAAGAGAGTTCATGAAGTTTCATGGGAATTTGGTACGAATGATGTCCCCAGAATCGCTCGGCCTTTTGTTTGACAGTGCAGCTCTAGCCTTTACACCAACCGAGTGTGACCTACAAGGCAGTAGGAGTGGAGTAGGGAGTCCACTATCCATTGGCAGCCGGTGACCGGAGTTCGGTTCATACGCCTTTTTGAATGGGGCCAGACATCCAGGACATCCAACAAGCCCTTTGTCCATACGTCTGCCGGTGAGCTCCAGGGAGCTTCATACGCCAGTCGTTGGAGGTTTGGAATCAGGGTTTAGCCATGTCCCCTAGACTGTCATCCAATGGACAGTCAACCAGGTGAAGAGCGCCGGGCATCCGCTTTCGCCCTCTCACTTTGGTGAAAAACACCTCCGCCACGTGAAGGCAGTGAGTAGGACTTCCTCAGGAGAGGCTATGTAAGACGCCCTGTCATATGGGAGCATTTCAAGAGGTGTGCGGAGGGGTGGCCAACCCGCAGCGCAAGGTACCCACCCCCTACCATCCTGAGGCTTTGGAGGCCTAATATGGTATAGGCCACGTTAATCGAATCCCAACAGTAGTATGCTTATCTTTAACAAATGTTGGTTTCCGGGGGTTTTTATTGATTCCAGCATTGATGACGGACTGACTGACATCAGTTGGAGTACAAACAGAAAGACTACTTGATAGTTATTTCGTCCTCCTTCTTCGGGACTCTTCATCAGTATGTACTCACCCCTCCTGCTGCCTAGAATCGAGTCCAAGTATTTCATAATATTATAAAGTGACGTCAACCGTTTGACTACTGGGACGGAATCCGATGACCACCGCATGATTTCTAAATTCTGTTGGTTCCTTACATGTGTAGCGCTAATAGCGAGTTTGTTTTGAGGGTAAATAACTCATCCCATGTATCGCGTCGGTGGCATAGCGGTTAGGACGCTCGCCGACCATGCACATGGTCCATGGTTCGATCTCCGGCCGACGCACTCCTTTACCTCGCCAAACCAGTATACAAAATGAAAAATAAATCTGGTGTAAAGAGAATAAACACTTTGATTAAAGCTGAATTACAAAGATTAAATGCTCTCTATAACCAGAAGTTTCTTTCATGTAAATCCTCATCTAATATGTGGAAGCTATTAAAGGAAATCACAGGTGGTAAGCAAATAATGAATGATACTTCTGTCGATGTTGATATGCTTAATAAATCCTTCATATGTATCCCTGCAGATGTTATGATTCCCAAATCTAATAGTATAAATAATGACTGCTTTTCATGTTTTAACACGAATGATGTCCTCAAGTGTCTTCAATCTCTCAAACCTACCCAGTCCCTTGGTCCTGATGGAGTTCCTGCTGTTATCCTTAAGAAGTGTGCTGACATCTTATGTTACCCATTAACCGACATTTTCAATGAATCTTTTTCCAAAAGTTTTATTCCTGACTCATGGAAAAATATCAAGGTTGTTCCAGTGCCCAAATCAACAAGTGGATCTACTGTCAAGTTTAGACCCATTGCTATTACCTCACCTTTTTTAAAAGTTATGGAAAGACTTATTTTACTTAATCTTGAACCCTCTTTAAAGCCTTTTAACGACCCCAACCAGTTTGCCTATAAACATAGTAGGTGTACCTTAGATGCCGCTGTAGTTCTATATCATAATATAGTCTCTAGTTTAGATAGAGGAGCCAAATATGTTCGGTGTGCCTTCCTTGATTACACATCTGCATTTGACTCTGTACCTAGGTCTCTCTTGTTAAGTAAGCTTGCTGCAACACAGAGTGAGAGCTGGATAAATAAGTGGTTGTATTCCTACTTTTCTGATAGGAAGCAGTACACTGTCTACAATGGAAAGTCCTCCACTACCTCACTTACTTTAGCTGGTGTTCCTCAAGGTGCTGTTCTTTCTCCTTTTCTGTTTTCTTTTTTCTTACATGACTTGCCCCATTCTGATGTAGCAAATTTTGTCAAGTATGCTGATGACCTCTCTGTCTCCATGCCTGTCAACTCTCAGTCAGACTGTTCCATATGAAATAACTTTCTCTCGGAAATTAGTCAGTGGTCCTCTTCAAACGGTCTTAAGCTGAATCCGTCTAAATGTCAGGTAGTAAATTTCACTTTCAGACGAAAAAGTGACCTTCAACAACTAGCTAGCTCACATGGTCCCACTATCATTGACGGCATAGAGGTTGAAACTACATCAGATGTCAAGTACCTTGGACTGAGTATTTCCTCCGATCTTTCCTGGTCCTCTCACATCTTGCTAGTGACTAGGAAGATGTTTCGCTTAACGTTCTACCTTAGGAAGTTTAGGCAGTCTGGTATAAAGCAGTCTTTGCTTTCTCAGTTTGTCAATTCTTGTATTCTACCCATCCCTCTTTACTGCTCCCCATTAATCTTTCCTGGACTACTTAAGAAAGACTTTGCTTCGCTGCATAGGGCACTAAAAGCTGTTAGTAGGGGAAGTGGGATTTCGTTAAACCAACTGGTTAACACAATTGTGGATAGACATATAATGTCATGTAAGAAACTAGCAAATTCTATATTGTCAGACCCCGAACACCCTCTCCATACGCAGCTCTCTCCTTGCATTTCATCTGGTAGAACTAGAAGCAACTATAGGAAGCTATATGCCAGGACTACCAAGTATAAAAACTCCACAATACCTTATCTGGCACAGCTGTTATGTGATGAGAAAACTGTTAGGCATGACATGATCAATTTACTGCGGCACTCTAACAAATAGTTCCCATAAGCTTTTGTTCTCCTTTCTTTGTTACTATTATATTGTTGCTCATATATTCTATTACAGACTAATTTTATATATCATATCCTGTGGTGCATTGTTTAAATATGTGAATGCAATGCTGTTCTTTTTTTATTTATTTCTTTTATTTCTCTTTTTCTTTTTGTTGTTGTTGCTTTATATTTCTAAATCCTTACAAAATTTATGAGGTAATTAGATGCAATATTGTAATGAACGCTGAAAACTCCATACCTGTACCACAAATACTGTTTGGAATAAAGCCATTATTATTATTATTATTATTAAAGCTGGTAAAGAGGAAAGGTTGGGCATGAGGCTAGCAGAAATAATCATCACTGCTACAGAAACTTCAAGCCACTAGGTTGAAGTCCTATGTCCCACTGGGGAAAAAAATATCGCAAATCAGCTGAAGATGTGAACCGTATCATACTGTAAAAACAGAAGACAAGGGCCAGACAACAGATAGTTTATTAAGGAAAATCAACACATATTTATAGATTTCAATGTACATTATTGTAGATTATTGTTAGTAGAAAATACAGTCTTTTGATTGGTTGTTTCTCACAGGAAGTTAACCTTGCATCTCTTTGTGGCTGTGTCAGATCACCATCCATATGCTAACTGTATCCGCCTACGCAAAGCCCTTGTTCTCATTTTCTCACCACCAATATTGGGGACATAAACATTGACGTCAATTACTGTCTACCAAATTTGGCTAGCAGCCAGCTCTCTCCACAATACTACCTCTTTTAGCTTTGCTAAGACATGCACTAATACATTCGAAAACTGGAAAAACAGTCACTTTTTCTTTGATAAAGCTTGACATATTCATGAAACTGATTTTTTTTTACAATATTTCTGGACATTGCTTCATCAACACTTACTTCAAAATAAAATATTCTGGAAAATATTCTCTAAATATAATATAAGATGATTGTTTCCAGTTATATAAAAAGTCATTAGGGAAGCCGGTTTTTCAATTTGTGAATAATTTCAAAAATTCATCTCACTATGAAGTTAGGTTGGAAGATAAAGTGTCCGGTAAGACGATTGGATCATCCTACAGAAGCTCAGACATCCCCCCCCCCGACTTTAGAAGCAGTGATTGCGATTGATAGCAAGTTTTCACCTGTCCTCCTACAATTCAACCGTAACGCTTAACTTTCCCTAGCTTAAATCTAGACGCAATGTTTCCCTAACGTATTGTAAAGCTAGCCAACCAGATATCCTATTTAAGATCATGACAGTTCACTCAGCAGCACTTTATTTCTTATGAATATAATGCTATTTATTTACTTGGTTTCACTGCCTCACTCTGAATGAGCGTTCTTAGGTCATCGGTGTGACGTTTGCGCCAGTTGGGATTCTAAAGTTTAATTTCGCCAATCATCCAGCGGAAATAATATAAGAACATCGAAAGTGACCATCTAAAAAACTAAAAGTCTTCATTGCTGCAATATATTTGTATCTAGATATTGAGGAATTATAGACATTTCCCTATGAATGAAAAACAAAACAATATTGTTGTTTTTACTGACGTTTCGCTATTTAATGCTGCTAATAGCTTTATCAAAGTATTATTAAACCGGAATTTACAAAATCTCAGCATATAACTAGACTGCCTAGTTAAGAGGAGGGAAAACGGACATTTTAGTATATCCATATTCAGGAAGAAAACCCACTCCTATAAATATTTAGACTTCAAATCATCACATCCCATCAGCGCAAAGATTTCAGTTGTTTCAAGTCTTCTTAGACGAGCACCCTCTCTGATAGCGGATGAGAAAGCGAAAAGAAGAAGAAATATCAAACACTACTGTGACTCTTAAGGAAAACAACTACCTGACGAACTTCATCAACAAAATCAACACTGACATTAAGTATGGTCGAAAATGTATTCCGAAAACATGGACATCAACAGTCGTCACTCCATATAGAGCAGAGACGTCAGAAGATATCAGAAGAGTACTCAATCAGCTGGACATTAGAGTTTTCTTTAAAACATCAGACACACTACGAAACAACCTTGTCCATATAAAAGACCAGATCCCTAAAGATTCTCTATCTAACTGTGTCTATAAAATAAAATGCTCGCTTGGAGTGTGATGCGATATACATCGGACAAACATCTCGAGAAATCAAAATCAGAAGAAATGAACACCGTAGAGCATCTCTTCGACCACCGAGAAATCTGGTTGAACTACAAAAACTTGAAAATGTTTTGATATTTCTTCTTCTTTTCGCTTTCTCATCCGCTATCAGAGAGGGTGCTCGTCTAAGAAGACTTGAAACAACTGAAATCTTTGCGCTGATGGGATGTGATGATTTGAAGTCTAAATATTTATAGGAGTGGGTTTTCTTCCTGAATATGGATATACTAAAATGTCCGTTTTCCCTCCTCTTAACTAGGCAGTCTAGTTATATGCTGAGATTTTGTAAATTCCGGTTTAATAATACTTTGATAAAGCTATTAGCAGCATTAAATAGCGAAACGTCAGTAAAAACAACAATATTGTTTTGTTTTTCATTCACTGGGAAATACAAAAACCTTTATTATAATGAATATCATATGCCCAATGCCTACATATTTTCAAACTGTTAAAAGTGAACTTGGTTTGGACATACATAAATATAGACATTTTTTGATGTAATATAAAGTGATTCTCAGGTGTTCGATTAGTTACAAGCTGATATCAGTTAAAGTACTATTTGAAAACCTGGGAGTACTGGGGACAGCTGTTTCGTCCCAATTTGGGACTCACATCCAGAGATTCAAACCTAAGACTTTCAGGTCACGAGGCAAGCTCATTAGATCATTCAGTCACTGAGACCCGACCCAATGGTCCATGAATTCCAACACGATTTGATTTAATAGTTAACGATTAAAGGTTGAATCTAAAGATCTGACGGATCATGTATAGTGAAACTCCCTGATGGGGTGGGGTAGGGTCAAGGGTGCGTACTGCTGTTGAAGCATTCCACTGAAGCGATGCGAAACAGCTGTCTCTTCCGCCCGCCTATTCAAATTTGTAACTGTTACGTAATAATGATAATAATAGGTCTGAATTTTTATTTCGTACATTTTCTTATTCCACCATTTATTTTTATTTTTATAGGCGCGTCGATTTGACGTGTTCTGTTGTTTTAAATTAAGCGGTAATGATTTAGAAGATTTTAATGAAATCGAAGGTTTGGATAGTACTGCTGTTGGTGCTACTACGACTAATAATAATGTCGTGGATGATCTACGCAAAAGGAATCATCTCCGCAATAATGTCAATCACGACAACAATAACAACATTCCTGCTACCAATACTAATCATAAGAATAAATTATTCTCTTCCGACAGTGATTCTTTATCGCTTAGCTCTACAGCTCTAGATGATGAAATACATGAGATTGATCTAGCTGAACAACAGTCTGGAAGTGGACTGTGCGGTAATGAAATGCATAAAAGTAAAGAATGTAAGTTTTTTTCTTCTTTCTTAAAATTATGCCTGAATTAAACGTTATTAAGCTTAGAATTGAGGTTTATTGTAGGTTAGTTAGTAGAAAAAAATAAAAAGATACAAAGCAGGTGTACCTGACTTGTGGGGTGGATCAAACTATAGACATTGGTGGTTTTGTTATTCCTATTTGAGTTTCCAGTAGAACATAAAGCGTCAATAAAGCATCTTCATTTCACTCTGTTCTTTCTGCAGTCCACAACCCCGCAGAAGCTCCTCCACATCACCCTCAGATCGACGCCTGCCTTGTTATTTCCCATTCGGGCTCCCCTCGAGAGTCAGTCAGCAATTCAGTACTTGTCCAATCCATATGTCACTTGATGCCGCATATTTGTTGGGTGATTGGTTGGTTGGTTGGTTCGTTGCCACAGTTCCTTGTTACTTTTCCTTTTCGACTATCCACCTGATCTTCAATATATTTGTTGTTGATGTCTGTCTGTTTTCGACATAGAACTCTGCACATATGTGCGCCAGTTCAAGTCGCAACACTCCACTCCATGTACCACACAAAGCCAGAAAAGAAGAAAGTAGGAGAAATGCATATTAGAGAGAGACAGTAAACAGAGGTGTGGTGAGACAAAGGAATGGTAATAACGAAGAACAAAACAGTTTCATTGGAAATCATAAGTCAGTCACAAGGAGTGGATGCATCTGCACCAGTCAGCCAGCCATTGAGAACGATCACTTTGAGCTAGCCATGTCACCAATTGTTTCCAGCCTTCATTGGTTTTTACCGTCCCGAGGACCCCACAACCAGTCAGGAAGCCAGTCTACACCTTTCTACGTGGCTGGCTTAAACTAACTGTTGTGGATTTCATTGACTGGTGCCATGTTTTGGTTTGACCACCATGTGCTAGCTGTTTTCCAGCCTGACCCATCCTATATCAGCTAACATTGCCATTGTCGAGGAAGGCGATGGCTAGGCGGGTATGCGTAACACATGTCCTAACTATCTCAGTCGATGTAGCTTCACAGCCTTGTCGATTGATTTCCCCTCCTCCTTACCAACTAGCACTCGACCGATGGTCTAACCTCAATATTCCTCACCTTATTATACCACTTGTTGTTGTTGATATAAACTCCTCACTGCCCTGTGAACGAAATCCTTTCAGGTGACGCGCCCATCAAGTCTCTAAATCAATATAGAGAAGCAATGACCCCCCGACACATTAGTGTTGAATATTCGGATCTTGTTTTTTATATGCTGAGTACTGTAGATTTTCATACTAATTTCAAACGAATAAAGGTGTGTTTTCCTTTTACGACCATGCTATTGCCTGTAGTTGAAGCATCGCTGCTTAGATAAGTAAACTGGAGTGATTTGCTTTAGTTAGATTTCTCCCGGTTGACAGTATATCTATCACCTCTGTCAAACTGAACCAATATAATATTAGATAATTATTAAGAATAAGCGCCAATTACCATCAACTGAAGGCATTTGAAAGAGGTTGCTTCATTCACTTATCTAGGGAGCATTGTCTCAACTACAAGAGGAACCGATGAGGACGTCAAATCGAGAATCGGGAAGGTGAGAAACACATTCATCAACCTGAAACGAATCTGGAAATCTTCCACTGTCACTCAACTCAGCCTGCATCAACAACAAAATGATTCGGATTTTCAATACAAACGTCAAGTCAGTCAGTCAGTTCTTCTATACGGATGGATCAGAAACTTGGCGGGTCACAAAGAAGATATTTCCAACAGCCTGTTGCAGACCTTTATCAAAAACAACTGTCTTCGCTGGCTCTATACTCAAGATCAGATGGCCACCGGAAAGAACAAGAACCAATCGCCCAACAAATATGCAGGAGAAAGAAATGGAGATGGATTGGACACTCGCTGAGGAGGAGGCCGCTGGGTGACATCGCGCGTCAGTCAGGCCATAGCTCGAGTGGAACCCGAAAGGGAAGCGGCGAGTGGGACGTCAGTGCAAGGGTGACATGGAGGAGATCGTGTGAAGAGGAGTTGAAACAGTATGGACTAACATGGATGCAGGTGAAAAGTGCAGTAGAAGACAGAAGCAAATGGAGACGTGCAGTTGAAGCCCTATTTTCCACTAGGAACCGAAGGGAACATTAAATAATGTTAATAATTAGGAATCACTTATGTTAGAGTTATTCTATGGCGTTCCAAGTGGAACATAAGGCTTCGTGCTTAAGCTTAGAAATCGTGGTAGTGATAGTATCTCCTTTTACTGGGTGTGACTACTACCCTCAGCGCCAAACCTCTCTTTACTGAGCTTACTACTGCTTACTTTAGGGATTTTAGGAGAGTGTGTTGACTACCGAGGATCGGATGTCGTCGGATCACACATCCGTGGTTGGCTCCTTATATATTCTACCATTGAACCACTGATGGTTTGTCTTATGTTAAACGAATAAGATAGTCATTCAAGTTGTAGTAGCGAAGATATTTTAAGCTAAGTCAAATAATAATAATAAAAAAAATAATTTGCTTTATTCCAAAACAGTACTTGTGATACATAATGGAATTCTCAGCATTTTGTTTACTACAGTATTGCATCCAGTTAGTATTATTATTGTTATTATTGTTCCCTTGGGTTCCTAGTGGAACATAGGGCTTCAACTGCACGTCTCCACTGGCGTCTGTCTTCTGCTGTTCTTTTCACTTGCGTCCATGTTATTCCATACTGTTTCATCTCCTCCTCACACGATCTCCTCCATGTCACCCTTGGACGTCCCACTCGCCGCTTCCCTTTCGGGTTCCACTCGAGGGCTTGACGCGCGATGTCACTCAACGGCCTCCTCAGCGAGTGTCCAATCCATCTCCACTTCCTCCTGCATATTTGTTGGGCGATTGGTTCCTGTTTCGTTTGTTCCCATAGCTTCTTGTTTGTGATTCTTTCTGGCCATCTAATCTTCAGTATGGAGCGAAGACAGTTGTTGATAAAGGTCTGCAACCTGTTGAAAATATTCTTGGTGACCCGCCAAGTTTCTGATCCGTAAAGCAAAATTGACTTTACGTTTGTATTGAAAATCCGAATTTTGTTGTTGATGCTGAGTAGAGTGACGAAGATTTCCAGATTGGTTTCAGGTTGATGAATGTGTTTCTCGCCTTCCCGATTCTCGATTTGACATCCTCGTCCGTTCCTCCTGTGGTTGAGACAATGCTCCCCAGATAAGTGAAAGAAGTAACCTCTTTCAAATCCCTCCCGTTGATGGTGATTGGCACTGGATGTTGCCGCTGTTGTTGGTTGGTTATTTTCATAACCTCCGTCTTGTCTATGTTCACCTGGAGTCCTGTCTTTGCTGCTTCTTCGACCAGTTTGCCGGTTTTTGCTTGTAAGTCTTCGATTTTGTGTGACATCAAACATAAATCATCGGCGAAATCTAGGTCTTCTAGGTTCTTCACGTCGGTGGTGCAGGATATCCCTGTCTTCTCGTTTCCCACTGTCTGACGCATAATCCAGTCCACCACAATTAGGAATATCATTGGTGATAATAAGCACCCTTGTCTGACTCCTGTGTTTACTCCAAACGCCTCGCTGAGTTTTCCGTTGTGGATCACTTGACATGTTCCGTTGTCGTACAGTTGTTGAATAAGGTTGATGAATATTTGCGGTACGCCGTAGTACTCGAGTAGTTTCCAAATTACTTCGCGGTCAACGCTGTCGAAGGCCTTCTCAAAGTCTATGAAGTTGAGGTAGAGATTTGATTGCCATTCCATGCTTTGTTCTGTGATGATGATGTGTAGAGTTGCAGTTTGGTCAGGACATGATTTGCCTTTCCTGAATCCAGCTTGTTCTGGTCGGAGTTCTGTATCCAGCGCGTCCTTTATTCTCTCCAGGATGACGTGACTCAGGATTTTACTTGGCGTCGACAGGAGCATGATTCCTCGCCAGTTCTTGCAGAGTCCCAGGTCGCCCTTCTTTGGTAGTTTCACGAGGTAACCTTTCCTCCAGTCAGTAGGCACCTTTCCCTCTTTCCAGATCTTTTGCAATAATGGAGTCAGCATATCTGCCGTCGTTTCTGGGTCCGCTTTCAGGGCTTCCGGGGGTATTCCATCTGGTCCAGCTGCTTTTCCAGCTTTCAGAAGCTTGATTGCATTCATGACTTCAGTTTTCGTTGGAGGATTGGTGTCAGCTTGCAGTTGTGTACGTGCTGTTGTTGGTATTACTGGACGGGTTGTAGGTGGTGGTCGGTTCAAGAGTCCTTTGAAGTGGTCCGCCCATTGTTTAATCTGTCTTTCTTCTTTGGTAATTGGGTTCCCTTGGCTGTCTTTTATAGGTTTCACTTGTGTTGATCTCTTCCCGGATAGAGACTTGGTTATCTGATATAGTGTCCTCAGGTCCCTTTTGCCTGCTGCCTTCTCAGCTTCAGTAGCCAGGTTGTCGTAGAATTGTCTTTTGTCCTTCCTGGCACTCTTCTTCACTTCTTTGTCCAGTGCTGTATAGGTTGAGCTCAGCGTCGCTTTCTCTTGTTCATCATTGCATTGAATCATTTTCTCTTTCACCATTCTCCTCTCCTCTATTAGCTTCCAAGTGTCCGTTGAGAGCCATTCCTTATCTTGTTTCTTCTTTCTTCTTAAAGCCGTTGAACACGTTTCGTTGAAAATCACCTTCAGAGAGTTTCGATGGTCTTCCACGCATGATTCCTCTGTGATATCACGTAGTGTTTCCTGCTTTGCTCTGACAGTTGCAGTGAAAATGTCCTGTGTGATTGTGTCCTTCATTTTGTGAGTGTTGAACTTGCATTGTGGCCTATCCCCAGGTATCCTCGAGGCTTTCAGCTTCACCTTGAAAGTCCCTTGTACCAGATAGTGGTCTGAACCCACATCTGCTCCTCTCCTCGACCTTGTGTCCAGTAGGCTCCGTCTCCACATCCTTGAGATTGAAATGAAGCCTATCTGGTTTTTAGTGTGTCCATCTGGTGAAATCCGTGTCGCCTTGTGTATATCCTTGTGTTTGAACACACTACCATCAATCACCAAATCACT